GCCCTTCCTTCACTGTTCTTACTTTAGGATTTTTTTTTTAAATGAAACTAGTCGTAAGTATTTATGTAATGAACCAAAAAAAACTAAATTTAATAACGGCAAACATCTTTTCTCTTTCAGGAGTCTCAAATATGAGTCTGCGTTGGTCATGGCATGGAACTGACTCACACGGACGGTGTGGGCCGCTTCTTGTCTATCCTTATGAATAGCGTCGGTGATAAGTGCGCTGAGGGTATGGCTGACGTGCTCCGCTCAGCCGAAACCTGACCTTTGTGGTAACCTGCTGGCCTCTCTGGCCCGAGAGCTGCTTGAACGGCCTGAAGTCGTTGCCGGAACTGCTGTCCGTTTCTTTAATTTATTAGCTTGTGTTTTATTTATTCATCCCATGTCGCATGTAGGTTTACAGTTTTTAATTTTTGTATACCTGGTCACATTGTTTTAATTAAAGTTTCATGATTGAACCATCAAAAACAATTCATCGTTATATTCTTTTTTATACCCTTGCAGAGGGTATTATAATTTTGTCGTGAAATGTGTAACGCATAGAAGGAGACATCTTCGACCACATAATGTATATATATTCTTGATCAGCATTAACAGCCGAGTCGATAGAGCTATGTCCGTCTGTCTGTTTCTATGCGAACTAGTCTCTCAGTTTTAAAGCTATCTTAATGAAACTTTGCAGAACTCCCTCTTTCTGTTGCACGCAGCACATATGTTAAAACCAGCTGGATCTGACCACTATATCATATAGCTGCCATAGGAACGATCGGTCGAAAATTAAGTTTTTGTATAAAAAAACATTTTGTTTATCAAGATATCTTGAACAAACTCGGCATTTATTAGTTTTACTAAGCTCCTCATATATATGCAAAATCGTTTTAAGATCGGACCACTATATCATATAGCTGCCGTAGGAACGATAGGCCGATAATTAAGTTTTTGCATGAAAAAACTTTTTGTTCTTGACCAAACTCGGCAATTATTAGATTTACTAAGCTCCTCATGTATATGCAAAATCCTATTAAGATCGGACCACTATATATTATAGCTGCCATAGATATCAAGATATCTTGACCAAACTCGACATTAACTATTTTCCCTGTGCTTCTTAGATACGGGCAAAGCACTATAAGCATTATGAAAAGGTTGGGTCTGCAAGGGTATTAGATCTTCGGCGTGCCGAAGATAGCCTTTCTTTCACGTTTATAGTACATATCGGATTGGTTGGCCGACTAGAATCTTTTCCTCGAGTACCTTCATACGGGGCCGGCATAAATAATGGAAAAACTTTTAATGCATTTTCGAGCACGGTACGCCCGTCGTTGACCGCTCACAAAATCGAACTTCTGGCATTCTGTACATTTGTGCAGCAACATCATAAGTGCCGAAAGTGCTGCCTATATGCCTTGCTGCAATTTTAGGTCAACGGCCCAGATGAAAGCAAAGGGCATTACCAAGGGCGCGCGATCCGCTCTTTTCTGAATCTCTCTATGAGCGAATCGGGTGCCCAATCACGATCGGTATATTGTGTTTCCCCTCTCAGCACAGTGGATCGCAAGATGGGCGTTGCCACTCTTCACTTAATTGGGCGCCATTGCGTGCCCGACTCTACCGCCGATACTTTTCCCATATGACAAAAAGATAAGACAGAACTCAATCCATTAAGCAAAATATTAATGTTAAACTCAGTATGTTGATTTAAAATGGACAAATTTCTTTTATATTTTTCTTCCATTTTAAAAGCAGTCCTATCTTCTGAGAGTGTGTAGTAATAATCATGACATATTGATCCCTCTTGATATTTTTCATGGATTTTTAAAATTCTAGAAAAATCATTTTTGGTAAGTTTTCGTTTGTTAGACATATCATCGAATCGTTTTTTAGTTTTCGATTTATATTTCTTGATTGTAGGCCCAGCATTTCTGGATTCAAATAAATATTTGATGTACCGAAATTTCCCTTATATTGTGATACAAGTTGTTATTTTTTCTAAATATTTTAGTTTAAATTAACATTTTGCAGCAATGGATAGCACATTTGGATTATTGACAGCTTCGTTATTTTCTTTCATATATTGTCCATTAAAAAAATGTTGATGGCAATATTTAAAAAACTAGTAAATCCACTATATTATTAACTTTTGGAGAATGAAAATTTATTGCAGTGTTTCTGAACCATTTTACCAATTCTCCAACATTATATATGGAATATGCACAACCCAAGGCATTTCTTAAAAACGATACGGGGTCAGTATTGTCCCTTATGGAAATGTTCAATTAAAGTCATATAAAATATTATTACACATATCCTTATACATCACAATTTCTATGTTGTTTAATTTATTTAAATGATCCCAATTATTGCAAAGTTAACATCAATTATAATTTTTTTTACACATAGGCCATTTAAATTTGTTTCTTATATAACCATACAATGCATAGATATACTAAAGGGCATTTTTATCGCTCTCACTTATTGCTCATTGCTCGCATCTCTTTCTTCCTGCATAGCTTCCCACAAAACCCCGAGATCTACAAACAAACATATGTTTGTGTTGTGTGGATGTGCGCACAAGTGATGCCTGCGGTGGGCTTGAATGAAACAGGAGGATAGCACTTGTCGCTCGTTTGCACTTTGATATGCAAAAAAAATCCAAGTGATCTTTTTATGAATATATTGACACGTGGATCTCGATGTTTTGTGGGAAGCTATGCAGGGAGAGAGATGCACACAAGTGCGCAATGAGCAATAAGTAAGAGCGAGGCACACTCCTCACATGCATAAACACATATGTAAGCATTTGGGCTGCAGGATTTAAAAATGGCATACATATATTTAGAAAAAGTATCAGCCGCAGCGATGTCGTGCGCTGAGCGAAATGCAGCTTCATACTGAATATTCGGCTTTTGAGGCCGGCGTTCGGCTGCCACTCTCAGCAGTCTTACTTTATATATAAAATTGTTTATCTTGACTGACTAACTGACTGATTGGTGATCAACGCACAGCCCAAACCGTAAGAGCTAGGATGTTGAAATTTTCACTTTAGTTACCTTATGTGATGAAGGTGCACGTTAAGACGGGGATTCGGGAAGCTCAACCTGCAAGTATGGAAAAATCGAGAAAAACCTTTGTATGAAACTCTTTTGCTTACCATCCGATCGGCATCGAACTCAATTTCAAAGTTCTTGGTTGAAATTCATTTGAGTGGTCTTTCACACTTTTCCAAACATTTATTCCTCCTTGGTGGAAATGGGGGTCAAAGATTTGGTGGACTACGTTTCGTGCTCAGATTCATTTTCAAGGATCTATATGAAAAATCATTTGATACGTGTTTCACATTTTTCGCAAAATCTAAACTGCTTCGGTAGAGATGCGGCTCAAAAATGTTTTGGGCGAAATTTTCAGTGGTGGCCGATTTGTTTCAAACTTATTTTTAAAGCTTTACGTAAACACTTAATGAATGCGTGTTTCAACGATTTGAGAAATTCTACCCGCAACAGTGGTAAATTGGCGGAAAACGATTGTATGAAAGTTGTTTGTGTACCGTCCGATCAGTTTCGAAATCATTTTCAAAGCTTTTTAAGAACATTTATTTTATTCGTGCCACGGGCAAGGCCGGGATTAATTCGCTAGTAGTACTTACGCCAAGTAATATTAAGAAAATTTCCGAAAGTGCGAACAGAGAAGGAATAGCCCCAAAGATTATTGCGTCTGCCAAATAAATAAAAAATTAAAAGTTTCGATTTTTGTTAACTTGTGCCACAGTGATACCCACTTATGCGTTTATATATATATACACATTATGATCGCCCTTACCGCATCCACCCAGAGAGCTATGTATGCACGCATTTGTTACAACGTTTACTCGCTCCCCTCTTTTTTTATACCCTGAACCCATTAAAAATGGGTAAAAAGGGTATATTGTATTTGTGCAAAATGCAAATGTAGGTAACAGGCAGAAGGAAGCATCTCCGACCCCACAAAGTATATATACTGTTGATCAGCATCAATAGCCGAATCAATCTAGCCATGCCCGTCTGTCTGTCTGTCCGTCCGTCCGTCTCTCCGTCTGCCCGTATGTATGAATTCAAGGATCTCAGAAACTATAAGAGCTAGAGACATTTTGGATATAGGTCCTCCTTGTGCCTGCGCAGATCGAGTTTGTTTCCGATAATCGATAAGTCACTCCCTTGATAAAAATCGATATCGACATCTTGTTTTTCGAGCAAATTGGGTAAAAAATAAGAGCTAGAGTCACCAAACATGATATGTTGCTTCTATAAAATTATATATATGTCAAGTATCTTTTATTTTATACGCCACCTCCCCGCTATCACCGCAGAGCTAAAAATCAAGTGGATAACCCAACTTAAATGGAATTGACTTTTGTAGAAAATTTCATTAAGATCGGTTAAGAAAAAACCAAAGTTATATGTAACTGCGCAATTGGATGTCACAACTAGCGAATACTTCAAGAATTTATGTATACATGTACACACACCCATTCATGCCCGTCTGCTTCGCATTCTTTCGCATTCTGCAGCATGGTAATTTCTTTTTTCTGTGCTAGTATTTTGGTTCGTTTTTGTCTCATAAGTACTTAATTATTGATGCGGCTGCTGAGTAGAGGCATAGCATGTGGTGCGGTCTGTCGCGAGTTCGTGTCCTACCGGGAAGTTTTTTTTTTTTTGCTGGTGTGGCTGTTAAGTAGAGTCGACAGCAAGTAATTCGCTCAGTTGCGAGTTCGAACTCTGCCTAAGGAACTTCTTTTTTTTTAAATTTATTTGTTGGAATAAGAGGGTTCAGGGTATACCCTAGTCGGGAGCTCCCGACTTGAACCTCTTGTTTTCTTTTGTTTACTGGCAATAACTTTAACGTCTTTTCGTCGTCTGTTCCGTATAAATATTGTAAAAAAAATGTGTTGTGTAAACACAATTTGAATTTAAAAATTAATATCAATTATTATAATTATAAGAGGGTGCAAAGCTTATACGCACCTATTGAAGTGAAGTTGGAAGAAATGTCGGTCTGCCTTAAGTTATGAAGAGTAGAGATATTCTGTAAAAAAATTTAAATTTTATAAATTATTAGCCATGGTCCATAACAATATTATTTACATATATACAATTATATTATATTATACAATACAATTATACGCACCTGTTTAAGTGCAGGAAATGTCAACTTACAGGAAATCATGTATAGAAGCTTAGAGATATTCTGTGAAAATAAATAAAATAAGCAATGAGATTATTTGTTAAAATTTTAAGAAAACGCAACCAATTTTACGAATATATTGAAGGAAAAGAATGTCCGGCAAAGTTTAAATTGATGAGGAGAGATGTGCGTCAAATTAGCGGCGGTGACTTAGCGTCGACTTTTGGTACTTGTTATCGGAAAAGTATCGGTTACTCTAAAATACATTTATTTATATTTTTAAGCGCGAAACCAAAAAAATTTAAATGCAGAATTGCAAAAAAATAAATTATTTACTATCTACAATCATTTGTGTTTTTTTTTTTTTTCATTTTAATTTATAATATGGGTAAACCAAGAGGTTGAAAAGTTGGGTTTCCACCATTCCTTAAATATCTTAATTTGGGGATAATGGCCCCGAAAACCACATGTACATGATTAAAGTCTATAGTTTCACTTAGGTGAAGCCAATCTTGAAAAAATTATAAAAATTGATCAGCCCGTTTTTAAGATATTTGTACAACAGTGCAACAACCTCGTTGCTAGCCCCATAAAAATTGACCGTAAAAAATTACCCTTGCACTTGAACGCTAATATCTCATATCTCAGGGATAATCGCCCTCAATGCACGGTATACCAACTTGAAGATACATGTTTAAGGAAGCTTTACGCATTTATTCTAAACAAATAGATCAGCCAGTTTTTTTTACAAATAAAAAATTTAGAATGTTTCAACAAATATATACAATATTTATTAATTAAAAATTACATGATATATAATATTCATTGTCATTTGTACATTACTTGTTTCACAAGTTGGCATTTTTATGTTAGCATACATCATAAGTTGGCAGCCCCTAACATAAATATGATAAGTATGTAATGTTGCCAGCTAGTTTTTTTGCATAACATGGGGTATAAGGAAAATACGAATTTCTTAAAAACTGGCTGGACGATTTTCTTGATGTAAAAAGCAAAATGATTGATAAATCGCGATCTATGTGTTAAACTACCGTGCATTTGGGGTCATTATCGGAAAAATTGAATAATAAAGGTTGAAATATCGCAGCCATATTGATGAATAAAAATGTTAAGTATGTATGTAAATATTGCCAACTAGTTTTTTTTGCATTAACAAGGAGTATAATAAGAAAAATGTGAATTTCTTAAAAACTCGCTGGACGTCATAAGTTGCCAACCCCTAATATAAATATGTTAAGTATGTAATGTTGCCAGCTAGTTTTTTTTTTGCATAACTTGGGTATAAGGAAAATACAAATTTCTTAAAAACTGGCTGGACGATTTTCTTGATGTAATAAGGAAAATGATTGATAATTCGCAATCTTTGTGTTAAACTACCGTGCATTTGGGGCCATTATCGGAGAAATTAAATAATAAACGTTGAAATATTGCCACCTTTTTGTTATATTATTATACTGAGTACTAATACATAAATTCACTGTTGCCTTATTTAGCAGCAGTCTATTTTACCAAAGATACATATTTTATATATTACTGCATTTCTTTTCCATACACAAATGTTGCGGGACGAATTAAGTTATCGATTGTATAGTATTAAGTTTATTCTGAAAGTATGTATTTTTACTCTCCGAATGTACGGGCACACTGTGTTTGGCTTGTTGCCGCCATTACTTAAATGTTAAGCTGATTATTGTCGTGAGTTCGAAGGCCGAAGGAGGAAACACTGCGGTAAGGTTCTGAGGAAAAATATATATCTAAGTTCTAACCTATGTAATCCGTTTAGAATAAAACACTTGCACTAGCACGTTTTGCATTACGCTGTCTCTAGTAACATCGGAGTAACATGGCCGGAGGCCAGGCGTAAACTTTGCAGTGTTCAAATTGTAACTCCACATGATCTTTTATTTGCAGTTCTTATTGTAAGAAACTGCAAGGGCGACTTGCGCTGAAGACAAGACGTGCTGTACCTTTGGTGTTACAGTGTGTGTACATAGACATAGCACAGGCAGGGCCTCCACCCAGTTATAGAGTCACCATTGGTACGCAGCCAGCGTAAAATATAGCAGAAACCATCTCCGAGCTGAGTAGGATGACACAACGGTCACCTAGGAAAAGCCCACGCTTAAACGAGGGCCAGGAGATAGCTACCACGGCGAGTGGGACGCAGACAAAGCGGACAAGTAGAATGGTAAGCACTGTATCACAAATGCAAGTTCCCGCTGTTAGCGCACCACAAAGCCCAAGCACCGTGGATGTGGGCACAAGTGTACAACCTGCCGGCACTGTGGCCACGGGAGTGAGTGCACGAGCCAGCACATTGACAGGAGCGTTAAGCCCAAGCACGCAACTCTCAAGTACGCAAGTCTTGGATTTGATAAAGAGAGTCGCTGTGCTAGAGCAATAGTTGCAGAGGTCAAAAACTGGTCAAGCACATGTGAGTACAGTTACTGATCCTGTTTAGTTGAGTAGTTCTGGCGTAAGTGGTACAGCTAACCTGCGCCATCTTTGATCGGAGCTTTGAGCGGAGAGCCATCGTCGAGTGGAACTACCATTTTGAGCAGATCTCCATCTTTGAGTGAGGCACTGCCTACGTCATTGAGTGGAAATTTGGGAACACAGTTGCAAATGGTAGAACGGGCTACAGTTATGGATAACTGCTCTACAACGTCAAGCCGCTCGACGCCTTATTGCTTTGCAGGCATTGCACAGCCAAAGCTCAGCTACACTCCGGCACAGGAGAACCAACAAGCGATAATTTTGGAGCCAACGCCGGCAACTGGGAACCTCGCATGGACGACTCCCAGAAACGATGTATGCCTAACACGCAAATTAACAGATCTACCCGAGTTTGGAGGCCAACCTGAGGATTGGCCTATATTCTTCTGCGCGTTTATGGAAACAACTTTGGCGTACAACTGTACAAATCTGGAGAATAACCAGCGATTGTTGAAAGCACTCAAAGGCGAAGCACGTGACACTGTGAAGTCGTTGCTCATACATCCCACGAATGTGAACAACGTAATGGAACAATTACATTTTAGATACGGCCGCCCAGAACAGCTAATAGACAGCCAGCTAATTAGTATTGGAGCGGTGCAGCCAATTCAGGAGCACAGCATAGCTAGAATCGTGCCATATGCTACACGCGTGAGTAACCTTGCCGCCTTTCTAAAATTGGCTAACGGGGAACAGCATTTAGCGAATCCTACACTGATGGAGGATTTGGTCGCTAAACTACCACCAAGCAAGAGGGTGGAATGGGCCAGACATGCAGCTACGATTAGGCCTTTCCCGACAGTCGCACATTTTAGCGTGTGGTTAACGGACTAGGCCAATGTGGTATGTACGATTGTGGACGTCGATAGTAAGAAGCAAAGGCGTAGAGTGCTGCATGCCAGCATTGACCAGAATAATGAAGGGCGTCACCGAGGTCGCACCAAACAGTGTCCAATCTGTAATGGACAACACTCAGTCGGGGACTGCAACGAGTTTAACTTAGCCTCTCTGCTAAAAAGGTGGACAGTCGTAAAAAGGCACCGGCTTTGTTTTTCGTGTTTACGAGCTGGCCACATGGCAAGAGACTGCAGTAGGGCCAACGAATGCCAAGTTAATGGAAGCCGGAAGAGACATCATCGACTCTTACATTATCATGATGCCATGAGTCACAATGCACCGCAGCCAGCAGGTGATAGAGTGATGAATACTGGATGGATGCTGCAGCCATCGGATCCTCACACAAGGGCACCGCAGCCAGCGGATGCTCAATCGTCGCAACAAAGGAACTTAAGTTGTGTCGATTCGGATGGAAACCGCCTACTATTCCGCATATTGCCAGTGACATTGCACGTGGCCAATAAGCGGATCGATACGTACGCGCTCCTCGACGGAGGCTCGTCTGTAACGATGATCGACGACGAGCTACGGCGCAATCTAGATATCAAAGGGGAACGCAGGCAACTAAATATACAGTGGTTTGGTGGAAGAGCAACCAGAGAGCTGACCACAGTGGTAAGCAAGGAAGTTAGTGGAGCGGACAAGTGCAAACGGCATGTGTTGCGAAATGTGTACGCCGGGTCCAACCTCAGCTTACCAATGCAAAGCCTGCATCAACGTGACGTCCAAATGTGGGGCAACGGTGCACGTCTTCCAATGAAACCGCATCGCGGGGCGGTACCAAAAGTTCTGATTGGACTTGACCATGCGCATCTTGGACTGCCAATGCAAACAAGAAAATTTGCACCACAGGGACCATATGCCGCAGCCACCGAACTTGGATGGGTGGTTTTTGGGCCGGTAAGAGATCAACCGACGGCAACGTCATCAAAGTCATGCCTCCTAGCAGTATCGCAGGAAGATGCAATCCAAAAGATGGTGATATGGAAAACTTCAGTGTGAAGCTTACGCCACTAGTCGCAACCAGCGACGATGCACGAGCACAGAGGATACTCAAAGACACCATGGTGAAAATTGGAGAACGTTACCAGACGGGTTTATTATGGAACCGTGATAATGTTAGTTGCCACGAAGCTATGATATGGCATACAAAAGGTTAACATTGAGAGAAAGATGAAGCGTAACGATCAGTTAAAACAAGCCTACATGAAAATTATGGACGATTATGTTCATAAAGGATATGCTCGACGATTGAAGCAGTATGAGGTCGCTTTAGCCAACAGCGACAAACTTTGGTATCTTCCGCACTTTGGAGTTTAAAATCCAAATAAACCCGGGAAGATACGACTGGTGTTCGACGCGGTAGCGAAAGTTGCTGATATTTCATTGAATTCGGCATTATCCAAGGGGCCGCAGCGCTATAAGTCGCTGCCGGCTGTTCTCTTCCATTTTCGGGAAGGTGCCGTTGGCGTTTGTGGAGACATCCGAGAGATGTTCCATCAAGTGTTGATTCGACCGCAGGATAGATGCGCCCAGCGATTTCTGTGGCGAAACGGCGATGATCGCCGGGAGCCTGATGTTTATGAGATGAGGGTAATGACGTTTGGAGCAGCATGTTTACCAAGCGCCGCACACTATGTGAAGATCTTGAATGCTCTGCAGTTTCAGGAGTCAGACCCTAGGGCGGTTAAAGATATTCTTGAATGCCACTATGTGCACGACTATGTGGATAGTTTTGATAGTGACGGCGAAGCCATCACCATATCAACAAGAATTAGAGAACTACATGCAAATGCTGGATTTGAATTGTGCCAGTTTACTTCCAGTTCGACAATTGTAGCTGACGCGCTGGGCCAACATGGGGCTGCTAGTAGCATCGGATGGGGCGAAGCTGAAGAAAAGATTCTAGGCATGTGTTGGCAACCAGCCACGGACGATTTCAAATTCAACATGAAATACCACAAAGTACCCCGATGTGTGTTAAATTTGGAGCGAATTCCTACGAAGAAGGAATTCTTTAGCTTGATCATGTCAATATCCGATCCTCTGGGATTTCTTAGCTGCCTCATGATAACTGGAAAGTTACTAATGCGTGAGATCTGGCGACGAAATGTGCAATGGGATGAACCCTTACCAGATGAGATCGCCCGGGCCTTTAGCAAATGGCTTTAGAATATGAACAACGTGGAGCAACGTCGGAGCTCGTGCCATTACTTCGGCCCAACACCTGTGCGGGAAATACAGCTGCACGA